GAGTTGACTTTGTTGTATAAAAATACAATTGTTTATTGTGTGGTTCCCTGACTTATTTTTCCAAATGCTTAAATATTGGCAACTGTGATTGGTATCCCTTTTACTTCTTCTCTGCTACATGTTGTTTTAGTACAGCGGGGTTCCCCTACTAAAGGCCACTTTCCTATGGGGTGGCTACAGTTCCCTCTAGATTCCCCAAGAGTTGCCTACCTGTCTTAGTCTGTTTTATGTTGCTGTAACAAAATACCTGAGACTGGATACTTTATGAAGAATGAAGATTTATTCATCTTGTGGCTCTGCATGCTGGGAGGTTCAAAGTTTTGATTCCCTGCAGAGTCCTGAGGTGACTCTGAGCATGACGTGGTCAGAGGGTTACATGTGAGACAGAACCAAGCTGGAGTTTGTAATAGCTCTTGAGATGACCCATTAATCCAGGAATCGCTTCTCCATGCATGAAGGCTCAGTACTTAGTCAGCTCTTTCAACTCCCACCTCTGGATACCTCGTGATGGGCATCAAAGTTCAGCATTGGGTTTGGTGGGGACATTCAAACCATAGCGCCTCCCTTGTCCCCCCTGGAACCTGGTGGTGATGGACCCTCAAGCAGGCCACCCCTTTTTGCTCCCTTAGCATGGCCTATGCTTGGTAAGTAGCCCCTGCATTAAACACCCCTCTGGCTTCCTTCTGAGCACCAGCTGCTTTGTGATGAGGCCTCATGCTGATTCTGCAACAAGTTGAAATTTCTTAGAAACTCTTCACAAGCCTCTCACACAAACCTGCCACCCTTTTGGACCACAAACTCCAGCCCCTCGGTTTTTAGACACAGGAAATGAGGAGAGGAGAAGAAAATGGACTTGTCAGTTCATCTGATGCCTAGGCTAGGGCTGAGAGGAGATATGAACTATCTGGTGAGTCCCAGAGTCGGGCCATGTGGATTATGATGGGCCAGGTCTTCCTAGGGGAACCCCAGGTTCCTGGCTCTGCCTCCCAGTCCCTCCTCTCTTGGAGGCCTCCTTGTTCTGAAATGAAGGTGAGCAAGACCAGGATGTTTGGAGGAGGCCAACCGTCCAGGTGCTCCTAGGTCTGGTGGCTTCCTAGACACACGCCCTGTTGGGGAATGAAAGGTGGGAAAGCAGCCCAAAAAAGGGCCATGTGTTTCTCTCCACCTTTCCCTTAGAATTCTCAGAACATTCAGGCAAATATTTGAAGATAAACAAGCCTATGTCCACATCCCCTGAGGAGAGTCCCCAATGCCTGGGACACACAAGTAAACGTGTTGACAACACCGGGTAAGAAAGTGTAGAAAATCGTCCACTTTGAGGTGGGTCAGAGAATGATTCCCAGGGCCAGCAATGTTGGAGCTGGATATTGGAGGAGGAGTTGGTGTCTGGCCTGGGATGCACGAGGGGAAAGACAAGCAGGCACTGAGACCCAGGGCTCAGAGGGAGTGCACAGTCCATGTGCCAGCAACTGTTGGAAGTTCAGAGTGGGGGAAGAAGGGAGTGGAGGGTGTGGGGCTGGGGGCCTAAAAGCAAGCAGCCATCAGAAGGATCTTGAAGGACAAGAAAAGTGCACCAGAAAGCCGTTGAAGTCCTTTAAGCAGCAGAGTGACCATGTCCTCTTTGGAAAGGTTCCTCTGGTTGCTGTGGGGAACAGGTAAATGGAGACCAGTTCAGAGGCTGCTACAATCAGGGAAAGACTGGGGGCAGGGATGAGAGTGGAGATGGGGAGGATAATGGATTTGAAACTATGACAGCAGTACAAGGGACAGGGTCTAGGTTTCCCACAATAATCACAACCACAATGACAAAGACAAAAGTCATAGTGACACACAATAGCTCTGGTTTCAGTTGGCCCTGGTGAGAATCTTCTCTCCCTACATTTTACTTAGAAAAATTTAAAACCTCAGAGGCTTGCAAGACAGTTTCCACAGACATTGGTATACCTTTCACTCAGATTTACAAATTGTTACATTTTGCTTTTCCCCACTTGCCTGTGTGTTTTTCTTTTCCTGCTCAGCCACTTGGAAGTTGTTGCAGAAATCACTAATCACTTTGAATAAGGAGATTCTTTTATGTAATTGCCATGTCATGATCTTATTTAAAATATATAATGTTGATATACTAGAATTTAACAAAATTCCAATTGACCCAAATAATAAAAGCTACTTCTTTTCACTAAAAAAAAAGAATGAATGAAAAAAAGAAAGAAAAGTAAAATCCATTATGCAACAAGGAATAGGCATTGTATTTAGTTGTTCTCTTTTTCATCATCCTCCCCTTTCTTTGTGGTTTAGGTTTTAAGAACTTTTTTTAAAAAAGTGATGACCAAACAAAATATAGGAGGCCTACTGTAATCAGTTCTACTGTTTTCTTTTTCTACTCGTTTAAAGATTTTTTAACTTTTTATTTGAAATTATTTTAAACTTAAATATATTAGCAAAAATAGTAAAAATACCATTTGTATTTTCCTCTAGTCATCAATTATTTACATTTTGCTGCATTTATTTTGTTGTTCATTTGGGTACAAATATATACTCATCTATATTTTTTTCTGACCCATGAAGTAAGTCTCCCCTCTTGTGCATTAATACTACAGGATATTATCTTATATAACCACAGTGCAAGCACTGAAATCTAGAAATTCAACATCAACAATATACTATTCATATTCAAATTTATTTAACAGAATATTGTTTATAGCTTTGGAGGGGGGAGACACAGAATCCAGTCAATAAATACACATTGTACTTAGTTCTTGCATCTCTGTATTTTTCTTTGATCTAGGCAAACACCTAGTTAATCCCATCCCTCTCTCTCTCTCTCTCTCTCTCTCTCTCTCTCTCTCTCTCT